CGCCTCATGCTAGCCTGAGGGGGCCCAGGCAGGTATATGCAAACAAATAATCTTTCTGAGGCCTGAAAGAGAAAGAGGCCTGTCCCAGCACCCATGGCACTGAGGGCTCTGCTGAGCTTGGACATGTCCATGGCAACCAACAGCTCAATGTTCCTGTTAGCAGGGCAGGGGTCCAATTTAGCACCATTCAACCTATTGCCCAACCAGAGTTGGTAAGAGTTGGGGTAAGTAGTTGCTGTAAGGGTGCAGTGTCCTCTGGGGGCTGCAGGACTCAAGGAAGGGTCCCTAGAGGAGACAGGGCCCCACTGGGCCTGCATAGTGCCCTGGGTTTGGGTAGGAGGAGGGTCATGGGATGAACTTTGGCACAAGAGCCAGAAGGGCTGAGCCTGGGTTTGGAAATCACGCCTGAGTCCACACCCTAGCTGGGTGACTCTGAGCTAGGCTCATGGGCCTCACCATATAGATCTTTATCCATAAGGTGGGGATCCCATGGGTGGAGAGTGTGATGTGAGCCTCCATGCAGGGGTGCTATGAGGGGCAGTAAGGGGTCCCCGTTTGGGAGTTTCTCCCATGTCTGTCCTCCCCACACCCAGCTTCTTGCCCCAGGATTTTGGATGCTGCTCAGGTTAAGTCTTTCTTATTGATATCGCAGGTTCATAGGTGCCCAGCACACTTGTGCTGTCCTTCAAAGGTTCAGGTCTGAGGATTGCTGCACCTCCCCTGAGCCCTGTGGTTCATAAGGAGTTAAAGGCACCATCCTGTCTAGTACCTCGACACCCCTGAGGTTGTGGTGTCACCTCCACTTTAGAGATGAGGCAGCTGAAGAGTGGAGAAGGGGCTGCCTGGGTGCACAGTGGGGCACAGGGGTGGGGGTTCAGGTCCTACTCAGGTCCTCCCTGAATGCCAAGGAGTTTTTCCAGACTGACCCTTGGGAAGTTGCCAGGTCTTGCCAGTTTACCCCAAAGATCCCTGAAGATGAGCAGTCAGTCCTTTTTTTTTTTT